TATTATTTACAAAACTAGGGTCTCATACAACTCAGTTTACAATTAAACTGATGGGTAAGATTGATTATTTTTTTAAATTGAAATTTGTTACATTGTTTACACGTAAAATAAATACAAATAATTTGTTTACAAACTTCAATATTTAACCAAATATTACATTGTTTACACCGGATATTAAAATAAAAATTACTTTATCTCTGAAGATTATATGTTGGATCTTTGACTCTTTGATATTTGAGCAATGTCAAATACTTCACCTTACAAGTATTTGTTTCTAATATAAAAAAATAAAAGGGTTAGAAAAAAAGAATATAAAAATAAATGATTTTATGCTCAAATGAATATTTAAAATCACAAACCTTAAACTAAGATAACTTTCTACACTTGTAATCCATCGCTAATGATAAAATTTAAAATAGAGGATGTAGATAGTTTCAATTGCTTCATGACAATAGTTAAATTGTTATTTTGACATTCTTAATGGACTCATCTACATTAATCTTGTTAACGAGTTCTGGTCAAATGCCTCTGTTGGGCCAGGTGGTCATGATGCTGAGTCAATCTAGTCCTATGTCAATAGTTTTCCTATCATAATTACTATGTCACTTATTACTTAGAAAATAAAATATGAAGATGAAGGTTGTTGTGTTGAATATTATAGATTCAACAATGTCTATAAAGATCACTTTCACCTAATTTATGCAACCAACGATAATCTCAGGAGTCCTGCTAGTCTACGACCAATTGGAAAAATTTTGTATTAACTTTTAGTGTCAAATCTCCGTTCAAAAGAGAAAGAATTGGAAATGCTTACTTGGAACGACAAACATATGTTGTTATCCCTTACCAAAAACATCATAGTTAATCTTCCTCGAATCATTTTTAATTTCTTAAAAAAAATGATAATCATCTCTAGGGATGAAATGACTTTCTTCATACCATATAGAAGAGTTATTTCTGAACTTTTCTCTAAGTTAGAGATAGTTAATAGTGATACTATGGGAGTTGAGTGGAGTCAGAAATTTGAATATGCGGAATAGTTATTTGTTATCCCGTTTTTAATTAATGAAATACTTCCTTTCATATTATTGTCTATTCGTTTTTATTGATAACAAAAAATTTGTAGAATTACTAATTAATAAGAAAAAAAAAGAAAAAAAATTAACTAAGAAAAAAAAGGGAATATTGGAAGGTGCCAAGTGAGAAATCATTTAAAAAAACATTAAATGCAGTTACTGGGACTGAGACGTGTTCCCTAATAGCTATGTTACGCCAGTTTTAAGAAATATCGAGGTATTAGGTTTATTATTATTTTTTTCCAGAAAATTTGGCGCTCACTTGTAGAAAAAGTTATTTTCAAATAAAAAATTAGACATGTCTCTCCTAGGACCTATAAGCTCGGTTTTTGGCATGTTCACGGTGAAACCTTCGTCATAAAAAGTATTATTTATAGTAGTGGTAAAATGTGTTTCTTGTTAAATAAAAAATACAATAAAATATGTTACATCCCAAGTGTCACATACCTCTCGGTTTCTTTTAAAAATCGAGGGAAGAAAGCTTTTTTTTATTTTTTAAATTATATTGTTTAAAAAAATATTAAAATAAATTGTTTAAACAAATTCAGATTTTGACAATGGATTCTTGGAAAACAACAAATCTTTTTAAATTTATGTTAAGTTATCTGTTCCAAGCAAAAGATTTTTTCTGTACTTGCAATCCATCCTAGAGAGATTTCATTATCTTGAGTAAATGTTTTCATGACAAATTCTTTCACATGAAAGAGAACAAGATGATTGTGTTTTTAGGAGTAAATTTCTCAATATTGTCAACCGAGGATAACAATAAATTTCTCAATGTTTTCTTTGATGGACAACATAAGAAGGCTATTCCAAAAATACAACAACAACAACATTAACACTTTTGGGATGGTTATAAAAGTAGAAAAAATGTTTTGTTCAAGATAGAAGAACATTGAAGATATTTTCTTTCTTACAATCCACCCCAAAGAATGATGTGTGCAAGTTTAAAGCAACTACATATAAGTAAGGTTTATGGTAAAATCTAATCAACGAATACTTTTTATAGTAAACTATGATAATCTAATCCCTCGGTTATTGAATATAACCAAAGGAATAGATCATTAATTTAAAAATTAAAAATAAAATAAAAAGATAGACATCACTTAAAAAAATAAAAACATAGACTATTGTTGTTGGCATTCGAAGCATGTCTTGAATTATTAGTCCCCTCAGTTGTATTTAGAAACTGAGGGAATATGTGGTGTTTATTAAAAATAAATAAACATGGCGCGCCTTGGCATTTTACCTCAGTTTTTGGTTGGGTGAGGTGAAAGCTTTCTCATGAAATGTATTATTTGTAATAGTGTCTAAGTCACATCATTGTATCTGTCTGTTGTCGTGTTTCAAAATTGAGTGACTCTATTAGTCAATGCATTAATAAATCTTTCTTTATAGGGTGTCAACCATTTTTGGTGCACACACTGAACAAATAAATGAATATCAGTACATACAACCTCAAAATGTTTCAAATGTTACACAAACTCATGCTCCCTATTATAATACATGATATTGTTTCATAGATCCATAACATGCTCTTGTATATGTGATTCAATATATTCCTTACACTTTTTACTAACATTATTTAAAATATGGAACAAACACAACAAATGAGTTAGGTTTGGAAATACAACTTTCATGGCATTCATCAATGTCAGTTCTCAATGCGTCACCAAAACCTTTGGTAGCATCTTCTCGCAAACGAACAACTTTTTCAGCTTCTCTAGTGCCCATATGAAGTTTTTCTCCCTTTCATGTTCCATATAGACAAATAGAACCGAAAACATCAACTTCGTGGATGCAACACCAACAATTTCAAGTAGCGGTAGTCGATACCTATTTGTTTTGTATGTATAATAAATAATCAATAACTTCTAGCCCATAATCAAATGAAAATTTAAATTATTTAGGGATGTAATACATGTTTGTTTTGTATGTACAATAAAATATCGACACCCAATGAAACATGTTCAACAACTTCACTAAATCAAGATGTGTCTAAAAGATATCACCAATAACATTTAAATCGTCCATGTTTCTGGTCAAGTACATGTATTTCTCTTCATAAATAAGAGCAACATATGTTGAATTTCAGTCAACAGACCTTTTTTGCTCATCTTATATGTATATCCTGCCTTGTACACCTGGGTAACGCTCGTGAGATTTTTTTGTATCTCTATCTTTCAAAGCAGTTATTATGTACCTGAGAGGCATATTGTATTTTAGCATGTCATTCATAAATTGTCTTTCATAATCTTTTAAATGACCTAATATGTCATGGTCAGCTAAATCTTTAGATAGTTTATGATTTTAAAACTCACACCTAACAATAACCTTCCAACCACTACCACATAACATATATCTTAGTATAAATGTACATTCTTCCTTTGTAGTTTCTTCCTCTCTCCTAATCCCTAATCAATTTTTCTTTCCTCTCTGATCCCATTTGCGGTAACAAAATAAATAACAACAATATTACCATTTTGTTTGCCAATGAACTGTGCCCATGCTAACACGTCAGTTCGGGAGTGAAATATCTATCATTAACAACATATACAAAATAAATTATCAATGTTAGATATACCGAAAGCCTATTAAGTATTGAACAAGTTAAAAACAAAACACGGAAGTAAAACATGCAACATCACTGGTGAAAAACTATGTAAAATTTATAGGAAAACCATCAAGATCTAGACCGCACAACTAATCATCATGAACTACTGGATTTTTTTACACTATGCAAAATATCTGATATACTAAAAATTTTAAAATATCTGGAAGTCTTTTTATCTATACTAGAATTTTTAAAATATTCAGTAGGAGATATAGTTTTCTCCAGATATAGTTTTTAAAATATGTGGTAAAAATGCAGCAACAAGTTTCTAGAAAATACTGTATTTTTCAAAAATATGCGGTTAAAATGCAACAAAATATCATATTTTTCAGAAAAACCAATAAAAACTCATTCTTTTTTAAAATATCTAGTGAAATTGCATAAGTTTTATCTTTTTTGAGATTTTTCGTACCAGAATTTTTTGTATAACTACTAGATTTTTTTGATTTTTTTACTGATTCTTCAAAGTGAATTTTTTTGACCGAATATAAAATTTTGAAGGATAAATAATGTGAACAACATTTTTACATTATGAAAATAGAGGTGTCTGGTTAAATTTGAGAGTTGCAAAATAAATTCTCCTATTTTGAGTATGTAAACTTTTAAATTGGGCCAATTTTGAGTGTTCTCAAGCCCATTTTCCTATTTTTTTTCATGAAAAAAATAGAATAACTTGCGTAAATAGAATTGAATTTGGAGCGAGTGTTAACAGTTAGAATATTTTTTTGAAAATTTTGTATTTATATTTATGATCTTGGAATTTATTTATTTGCATGCTTTCAATACAAACTTTATATTTTATATTTGTATGCTTCTTTACTTGTGCCCAAGCTAACAACACTCTTAAAACAAGATAGTTTAAAACTTTTTTTGAATATGGTCCATAAAATCTATTTAAAATTGTCATTTGTATTGAACTTTCATATCAAAATGTTGTATATATATACTTTTGTAGACATAATGTAAAACTCAAGAGAAAATTATTATGTACATATCACTTGTTGCACCATCATTAATTAAAATAGGAGAATGTTTTTTTGTTTTGTTTTGAAAGAGGCAAAAACTTGGAGTGTTAATTTATGCTCTACAGGGATACGTTGTACAATCCAATATAAAAAAGAATTGCAATAAAAAAATCATTCATTCGCCTTTTAAAGTCAAAATATTATTTTCAAAAATAAAATTCCATATTATTTTACACATATGGCAGCCCCTTATTTATTCTCCAACAGTTGAGGTAGCCAAAATTACAAGCCCTAGCTAAAACAGTTTCTATTAGGAATATGCTCTTACACTCTTATAAGGATTTCCTATTTTGTTAATTCTTTCACAAGGGACACAAGATTATTATAAGACGATCCATTCTCGGTCAAAGCCACTCTACAATTTTCACTCATATCTTTAACCTTCCTCTTAATCTCATCACTACCGTTCATCAACTTAGTAACAACATTCTCAACTTCTTCCGCCCGCACCAAATCCTCACCCTTCTTATAATCCAACCTAATCTCTACCGCTAATCTCAATTCCCTAACCATCTCAAACGCATTCATCTGTTGTTCTGCATAAACCGGCCACGTGGCAACTGGTACACCGTACCACAAACTCTCCAATATGGAATTCCAACCACAGTGCGAAACGAATCCACCTACTGCCTTGTGGGCCAGCACCTTCGCTTGTGGGACCCACCCACACACTATACCCATCCCCACCGTTCGTTTTAAAAACCCATCCGGTAGAACATTCTCGTAACTCGCGTAATCCCTTGGATCATCTAACCGGGCTTTGGGCGGTTCCCTTAAAGCCCATAGGAATTTAATCCCAGCCCGCTCAAGCCCAATAGCAATTTGCTCTACCTGTTTCACTTCGAGACTTCCCAAACTACCAAAGCAAAGAAAAACCACAGAACCAGGAGCCTGCATATCGAGCCACTCCATGATGTAATTATATTGAACCGGGTTTGGATCCCATTGAGCCGGTCCATCAAGGTCAAGAATCGGTCCAATTGGATATACCGGTGGAAGATCTAAATCGGTGTAAAGTGATTGAAGAGAATAAGGCTCAAGCTCTTGTACTGTATTTACGATTATACCCTTTGTTTCTTTGTATCTTTCTGCATGATATGACATCCACGAATAAGCGCCGGTTTTCTTGTTCATCAACAAGCTAGGTAAAACGCGTTTCGGAAGCGGTTTTTTGAAACTCGGGATTTCAAACTCAGTTTCCGATTCTAGCGATTCAGTACTTGGAAGGTGGAGCATGAATCCGAGGAAACTCGCCGGCGACGCGAAGAAGAGGTAGCAAGGGAGGGAAATCTCGTTGGCCACATCGATGAGGGTGGTGGAGAACATGTCCACGAACAAAGCAGCGAGTTTAGCCGAGTCGGAAGTTGACTTGGTTGATGATGTGAGGTTTAGGAGTGCGTTTCTGATGTTATTTTTTTGGTTTTGTATGAGGAGGGAGATGTAAGTGACGAATGATTGATACTGATCGGTTGTGGGAGGGTCTACGGGAGGGAGGTGGATGCAGCGGAGATTAGCGGCGGAGGAAGCAAGAGACTGGATGTAAGTGTTAACGAGTAGTCGTTGTGGGAGGGTGAAGGTGAAAATGGTAGCAGAGAATAAAGGGCTGTGTTTGATTAGATGGTTGGCGAATTCGACGACGGGAACAATGTTTCCGATGGCTGGTGTAGCGACAAAAACCACCTCAAATTTTGTCATGGTGATTAAGGATGGAAAGAGCATACTTTCGTATGATATTAATATTGAAGTATATTTTTTCGACACATATATTATTATTTATGGGTAATCTTACCTAATGAGTATTTGAAAATTGTGTAATAAATGTATACAATTAATGACTATTGTTTTTTTCATACATATTTGTGAATTGTTTTAACATGTGCTCACTATTGTTTTTTTCATACATATTTGTGAATTGTTTTAACGTGTGCTCCAAAGCACACGTTAGCATTGTCCATTAATTATTAATAATGTATTATGTCATGCATAGTATTAGGGTGGAAACTAGACAAGTTTGGAAAGTTTTGTGAACTTGCTCTACAATAACTTTTAGACAATTCTTATTTGTTGAAACTTTCATAACCCCATGAGACTAATTAGACTTCAAACACTTGCAAACAATTTCTAGAATTTACAATTCCAACAACTACTATAATATGCAAAACTTATTATTATTATTATTATTATTATTATTATTATTATTATTATTATTATTATTATTATATAACAAATTTGATGATATTCGGAAATAGAAACTTGGTGGTAGATGGGTGAACTTCATCCTTAAAAGTTTCTAATACGATACTCTCTATTTGATGAACATTGAGAAAGTGTATATATAAGATTAATATTTTAACGCTTAACATTAAGAAAATAAACTTACAAGTATATAAAAATGAAATGTAGAATGGTGTGACGTAGAACCACTATACTATATGAACCATAGTTAGAATTACTCGGATAAATACAACGTCTGATACGGAAAACCATTGGATGTATTTTGTACTTGCTTAAAGAATAAATGTGTGACAAACTCTAGTTAAGGCCCATCAAAGGCTTTAAGGTTGTTAGTTAGGTTGAGAGCTAGCTCACATGGAATGAAATGTTCTATATGAGTGTATTTTTGTGCATTAGTTCGTTCTTCTCCCATATTGCGATATTCGGGTCTTTATAGCAACCACTCTAGGAATAGATAGTTAATTCCTTAGAATTCAGGGAGCATAATTAATTTCCATGAATCCCTTAGTGTCATTATTGACCAAGTACACGTTATCTGCACGATCACGTGTTATAGATGAAGGTACACAAGATTTGGGCGACATATCTAAAATAGGGGCGTTCAAACCAACAAAGGGACGATCTAGAAGGAACGACATACAAAACATATGCCCTCTCCATGCTCAAACGACCACTTCCAATAACACTATTACACAGTCACTCAAGTAAGAAGGCTCGCAGAGGCCGAAGTATTTTAGTTCCTTACTCATCTTCGAGCCTTTTACAGGAGCCTTATCCATACTTTACTCATACCTTCATGTTGCAAAGCTTAGGTTACCTTTTGAACGAGACTTAGTTGAGTTTTCTTGAAGAGACCTAGTAAAGCCCCTCATGAAAAACATAATAGAGTATTCCTGGTGAGACTTAGCTGAGTTTTTCTGTTGAGATTTAGTTTGGTGCCTTAGACGAGACTTAGTTGAGTCTTCATGACAAGACATAGTAGAGTCCCTTAGGCGATACTTAGTTGAGCCTTCATGACAAGACATAGTAAAGTCTCTCAAGTGAGACTTAGTTGAGTCTTTCTGGCAACACCATTAGCATCATGTGTAAGGACAGATGGTCATTCTTTCACAACCTTTCAAATACCACGATTCTTCCCTTTTATGAAAAATTTCATTTTCTTTTTTCACAAAGTGTACCATTTTCCATTGAAGGATGCAAATTTGTTTAGATAATAACTTGGAGACAGTTTGCCCCTAAGACGATTATTCCTAAATATGAGTTAGACTCTAATTCTATTTGTTGGACATGTGACTTTAAGCACAAGAGGGGGGGGGGGGGTGAATTGTGGAATTTAAAATTCGTGATTAATTTTATCCTTTCTCGATTAAGATCGTATTAGTATTTTTCAGGTGAGTAATCACAATGGAAATAAAATGTTAATAAGTAACTTGCAGAAATTAAAAGGATAGTGTTAGAAAGATTGCACCAGAGATTTATACAAGTTTGGCCGAACATTGGCCTAGTCCTGTCCCCAAGAGGTATTTTTGAGAATTTCACTATAAACTTTGAGCTTTTGAAGGTTAGCCAATGAACCTTAATACAATTTAATCGTGAGATTTTAACAGGCTTATCCCCAATCAAATGATAACTTTTAACCCGGGATAAACTATCGAACTGTTTAGAGATTTATGACTGATCTCAATAACCAAAACAAAACTTTTCCCGATAAAGCTTGCAAAACCAAGAACAAAGATTTTACAATAGGTTATTCTCAAGAACCAAATTCAATCTCTTAAAGGTATTGCACTCTTAAGAATATAAACGACCAACATGACCACTTACAAAAATATCTTTCTCACAAGTGTAGCTTCACTTAGTAGCATTAAGGCAATTATAAGTGGATAAGAATATTTTAGAGAGAGAGAGAGAGAGAGAGAGAGAGAGAGAGAGAGAGAGAGAGAGAGAGAGAGAGAGAGAGAGAGAGAGGGAGGGAGAGAGAGAGAGAGAGAGAGAGAGAGAGAGAGAGAAATTTCAATGAAGCTTCAAGAACTTTGCTAGATAGTATCTGATTGCATAGACACTTGATCTTGAGTAATCTACTGATGAGTTATAAGATGCTTTTGTTATAATCAGGATTTGAAAGATTTTTACATGCATTGTCGTCATCATAACTTCGAATGCGGATCTTCATTGTCTGCAAGAACATAGATCCATATAAATCACGGGTGAAACATATCCATGTCTTATATGGTTATTTTTCATTGTTTATTTTATTTTCAATGTATATATCTCTTCTTCTTCATATTATTTATATCTTTGCAGGTTTACTATCTGACATCTCAAACTTCTTCAGAAGTTTTCATGTATATTTGCTCTGATGAATATATGTTCTTTCTAGACGTTGATCAATCTGAATTCCCAAAAAGAATCTGAGTTCTCCCATTAGACTCATTTCAAATTCTGCCTGCATTAACTTAGAAAATTTCTTGCACAAGGAAGGATTAGCAGAACCAAAAATAATATCATCTATATAAATTTGCACAACCAGAATATCATTCTTAAGAGAATTACTAAGTCATTCATACCAAGCTCTGGGAGCTTGCTTCAGACCGTATAATGATTTCTTCAGTTTAAAGACATAATCTGATTTCTCAGAATTTTCAAAGCTAAGGGGCTGATGAACATACACTTCTTTAGAAATATATCCATTTAAGAATGCACTCTTAACATCCATCTGATAAAGAATGATTTATGATTAACAACAAAAGAAACTAATAAGCTAATAGATTCTAACCTGGCAACTAGTGCAAAGGTTTTAGTATAGTCTATCCCCTTTTGCTGACTATAGCCGTGTGCAACTAGTCGAGCTTTATTTCTTACAATCTCACGTTTCTCATTGAGCTTGTTTATGAATACCTATTTTGTTCCAATAACGTGGACACCTTTTGGTTTCTGAACAAGATTCCTGACGTCGTTTCTGGGGAATTGATTCAGTTCTTCTTGCATGACTATAATCCACTAATTCTCCAGAAGAGCTTCATCAATTGATGTTGGTTATACCAGTGAGAACAAACCCAAAAGAGTTTCTTCAAAAGGTTTGAATGATGAATGAGTTATGACTGGATCAACTTTATCTCCCAGAATCAATTCTTCAGAATGAGAAGTCCTTAGTCTATTCTTCTTCTGATGAAATACATTATTTACTATTTCTGGTGAAATTGTATCTGATTCTTTAGTTTCTGCAGCTTTGTCTCCTTCATTAGAATCTTCCTCCTTGGATTCTGATAAAGTAATCTTCAAATCTGCAAACTTTTCAACTAGCTTTGACTTTTCAGGGTCAAGCTTATCATCGAATCTAATATGAATTTATTCCTCAACAATATGTGTTTCTTTGTTATAGATTTTGTAGCCTTTGGAGCGTTCAGAGTATCCTAACAACAAACACTTTTGAGATTTGAAATCAAACTTGCCAAGATTCTCTTTAGTGTTTAACATAAAACAAATACAACCAAAAGGATGAAAATAAGAAATGTTGGATATTCTATTCTTCCATAGTTCATAAGGAGTCTTACCCAGAATAGGTCTGATAGAAATCTTGTTCTGAATATAACACATTGTGTTTACTTCCTCTGCCCAGGAGTGCTTAGCCATGTGAGTTTCTTGAATCATGGTACGAGCCATTTCTTGCAAAGTCCTATTATTCCTTTCCACTCCATTATGTTTTAGAGTTCTGGCACATGAGAAATCATGGGAAATTCCATGGGAATCAAAAATATTCTCATAGTATCTATTCTCGAATTCTCCACCATAATCACTTTTGACTTTGGCAATTTTTCAATCCTTCTCTGTTTGCACTTGTGAGCAAAAGGCAGAGAACATAGAATGTGACTCATTCTTGTGTTTCAAGAATTTTACCCATATTCAACGACTATAATCATCTACGATGAATAACACATATTTCTTACCATTGATTGAGGTAGTTTTCTCTAGACCAAAAAGATCAATGTGCAGAAGTTCTAATGGTCTAGAAGTAGAAACAAAATTTTTCGCTTTAAAAGAGGTTTTGGAAAACTTGCCTTTCTGACATGCTTCACAAAGAGCATCTAAAGAAAACTTCAGATATGGTAAGCCTCTGACTAATTCAAGCTTATTTAGCTGAGATATCTTTCTCATGCTAACATGGCCCAAACGTCTATGCCATACCCATTGCTCTTCATTTACAGACATTAGGCATTTAATATTCTGGTCCTTAAGATCAGAAAGTCTGGTTTTGTAAATGTTGTTTTTCGTCTTTCTATTAAAAAGGATTGGGCCATCCTTCTGACTAATAGCCTTACATGATTTTTGATTAAAAACGATATCATAACCATTGTCACTAAGTTGGCTAATTGCCAATAAGTTATGCATCAAACCATCAACTAGAAAAACATTAGTAATAGAAGGAAGTTTACTATTACCAACAGTTCCAGAGCCAATGATCTAACCCTTCTGGTTTCCTCGAA